ATTTCTCGCTCTGACATGACAGATGTTGATGGGAGCACTGAAGGATTCGAGTGTCTCTGGGATTTGCTTGCTAAAGTAAACAGGAGCCAGGGCTGTAACCAGATCCCATTCTTGTGGTGGAGCAAAGCCACTCAGTTCATTCTCAGCCCCGCTGAGAAGCAGCAGAAATGTTCCTGAATATTTCTGGGCAGGAAATAGGCTGGGCTTTCTTTAGTGTGGGAATGAAAATGGGGGATGAATGGGCATGGTGGGGACATTTGGCCTCGTTTTACCTGTCTTGGCTTTGGGAGACATCAGGAAGGACAAGCACAACCACAAACGGGGTCAAAAACACAACCTGAGAGCACACAGAGGATTTAAGGCAGATGGAGGAGAAAGTGTTCTTTTTTAACAAAATTCACAATAATGAACATTTTCTGCTCCCACTTGGACATTAATTGCTGCCAACTGCACTTTGTTCTCCTGCATCAGGCAGAGGTCACGCATCTTTCCTAAGGAGAAGCAACAAGAGAAGCCAAACTGAGCACTGCAACCTTTATTAAATGACTCAGGGCAACAAATAAACAGCCAGGAAACCGTGGAACTTCAGAAAAATCCCCAATTAAAAATGCACACCTAGTGCAAGTCTGATTGGAGAAATCAGACTGAGAAAGGTCTGATTTATTTGGAAAGGCCTGTGGAAACACCCAAAACATTTCCTTATGTTTTAACATAAACATAAACGTAAATATAAATGCAAATAATATAAATCTAGGCAAAATGTAAATCAAATATAATTCTAAATAGAAATAGACATTGAAAGTTGTCCCTTTTGGGGTTTTTTTTGGTGGAAAATTAGGCATCTTCAGGAGATGAAACGTCATTTAAAGGGTGGCTGCAGTCAGTGGTGTCTGGGCTCCCTCTCCTGGCTCTTCCACTGCCGTGGAATGTTCCTGCTTTGCAGCTTTTCCTGACGTTTCCAGGCCCTCTCCCCGTGCAGTTTAATCCTCCACCGGTGCAGAACTGGGTTAAAATATCCCAGATTGGGCAAGCCTGGGGGAAAACCATCCGGGCTTTGCCTCAGGCTGGACGTGACTGCTCCCAAACCCAGGGAATTCCTGCCATCTGCCCACCCACAGGCTTTTCTACCTAAAAATTGGGGTTTTTTTTTTGGAGTTTTTTCTGTTTCAAACCTCTTATTCTGTCTCATGGAAGAGGGAGATGTTTACCCATTGCTGACCCAGTGCCTCCCTCCCTCCCTACACCCCGTTAATTTGCTCAGCATTTACTCCCAGAAGTCCATAACTGGGATTCCTCCCACCTTTTTCTTAACAATTCATAACACAAACCTCCTGTTTTCTGCTGTTTTTACAAAGCCACTCTGTTTTCACCAGAAAACGCGTCAAATGCTCGGTGTTCCCTCTATTTTAGACACCAAAACTTCCCCAAAAGCTCCAGTTGCCCTGGGATTTTTCCTCCTCACATTTAAATTAGAGAAGTCTCCATAAACATGAGGCATTCAGCCTAAAAATAAGGCACATTCCTGTTCCTCTCGGTTCCCTCCTCACCCCGAGCTAATTGGCGGATGTTTTACCGGTCTTATTAATGAGCAACATTTCATTCAGAGCTAATTGAAATCTCCAGGCAGACTCTCCACTTGGCCATAGAGACGTGGAGTAGGAAGGGAACAGGTGAGCAGAAAGCCTAATAACCATCATTATTTTGTTGGGAAGGAGGAATAAGGGGCAATAAAACCCCCCTCATAAATACAAAACCCTGGAGGAAGTTGCCAGGTATGTTGAGTCACGAAATAATTCGCCGGTGCTGCTTTAAAAACCCTTGTTTTAAAGGTGTTATTCAGCAAAAGGCACCCAGATCCTGCTCTCAGGACATGCTGGGGCAGGAGGATCAGAAGATTTGGGTGCTTCAAGTTCTATTTAAGGCACATAATTATTGAGATTTGTGCCGACACCTCACAAAATCGATGGTATTTTTGATCAGTTTGTGAGGGTTTGTCTTCATGCAGCTGAATTTTCCTGCAAGAAAACCCAACAGGTTCAGTAATTAACTCTCCCCATGTTAATTGGCTCCCAATTAACCTGCCAGAAATACCACAGATGTCGGGGGTCATGTTTAAAAATACCCACCCTGTTGCTTTAATCCATTGTATAACAAGATTTCAGCTCTGTGCTAAGAGACCTGAATCACCACCCAGGATTAATCAATCAGCAATTAACATTTAACCAATTCATTCAAACATGCAAGCCATTCCAAAGGTGACCCTGGAAATGCCCCTTTGGGGGAACGTGCTGCCGAAATTTCCCCCCCTTCTTCCAGGAGGAGGTGAAACAAAAGCAGCGTCCCAGCTGTTCCCTGCGTTTCTGCAGATCACAGACATCGTTCCATCGTGCTTATTTGAACACTGACTTCATTTTAATCGGGCCCTTGTGCCTCGTTTTTCCCCCCTCCTGGTAAAAAAAGAAATGTTGCTCCTCGTAGGGAGCTCGAGCACCTCCATCACAACCCTGCGTTCCGTGCTCGAGCTCGTTGGGCTGATGTTTTTTAAGCTGGTTTAAATTAAATAATGGGGGTTCTCTCCTCGGAGCTGAGCAGGATGAAGCACTTGCTTTTAAAAGGGAAAATTAAATCACGGAAAATAACAATTTACCACGCTGGCTCTGACAGGCAAAGACATCGATTTGCTGTTGTTGGGCTCGTGCTGTGATGGTGTTGTGGAAGTTGCCTTCTCCTCCCAAAACGGCAAATGAGTTTTGATTTCTCTTCATTAGAGGCATCATTAATTCCTCCTCCTGGTTTCTGTTTGTTTTCCCTTCCATTCTCTCTCGTTCCTGTAAATTTAACTCAGGCAGTGCATCCATCACACTTGTGCAATCGGAGAGAGGGAGTTTTCCAGGCGTTCCCACTCCTGCTCCATCCTGGGAGAGGGACAGGTCTGTTTGCTCAGGACTTTTCACTGGTGCTCCAAGAGCCTGAATAATTTGGAGCCTGAATTCAGCCCGAGCAGGGAGGCTGGGGGTGGTTTTTCCACCTTCCAAGAAACCAGGCCTTTCCCACTTTTTATCTGGCCTTTCCCACTTTTATCTGGCCTTTGAGAATTCCCTTTGGATTCTTTCCTTTTTTTTTTTTCAGCAATGGAAACAACTGCAGCAGGGCAGGGCCTTGTTTTGGGAGAGCCATTTCTTTGCTGTGATGGGATTAAATGTGGGCCAGGACAGAACCATCTTCAGCTCGTTGGAATTTCAGCTTCTGAAGGCATTTTTGTGCCTGTCAACCTGCTGTGCAAGTTGAGTCCAAGCTGTGCTGAACTAGAGAATGAACTTTGCAGCTTCAGAGAATTTCCATTCAAAATGCAACTTTTCCCCCAATTCGAGCTGCTGAGTCTAAAAATATGCAACTGTGGAAACAACCACAGGTCCAGTGCTGATTGTATTGTGTCCCCTATCTGTAAGAATTTTCCTGTTGAAGATATTTTTTTTTCTAAAATATTATTTCTTTTATTATTTCTAAAATATTTTTTCTTTTTTTTTATAAAAAAAAAAACCCCAAACAAAGCCCAGCACACTTGGCTTTCTCTGGTGTTTTTTTGGCCTGTTCTGTAGCTTGCAGGACTCACAGTTTCTTTTGGAGTAAAAGTACGTTATGATTGAACGGGGCATTATTAAAATATGGTGAAATCATTAATATTATGAAATTATTAATGTTATTAGAAGGCATAATATTTGTACGTCGTATTTGGGAAGCTGAAGGAGGAGAGGAAAAGGGCTGATGAAGGACAAACAGGGCACACATTCACGGGCAAAAACTTGATGAATTACATCCCTATTTTATCCATGGGGCTGAGACTCTCTCCAGCTGCACCATGAAGGACAAACAGGCGGGTTTGGAGGTTGCAGGAGCATCCCCAGCTGTCACCTCAGCCCTGGGGGTTTTCCTTTATGTCCCCCCACCCCGTGCTCTGACCCTGGAACCAGCCTTTCCTTTTGCTCCCCCCTCAGACTGCTTTAATGGTTGCCCTCATTCTCTTTATTGACTTTAAATCACCGGGTGGGATGTCCAGTTCATCTTCCCAAAAATGCAGCAGCTCTGAGTGCATCAGATCCCCTCCTTAATCCCCTCAGCCTCCCTGATCACTCAAGACCAGAGTTAGATAAACTATCTCAGGTAGCCTCTGACGTCCTCCCAGAAGCCATAAAAGATCCATCACGCTTTCCTTGGGTGTCAGAAAGGTTTTGCTGCTGCAGATTGGGCAGGCTGGAGGTCACTCCAAATCACAGTCTTGTTCACTTCATAAGCCCATTTCATCCTGTCACCTGGCATTACGTGTTCGAGTTGTTTCTGAGGAGCCCACAGCATAGATCAACTCCTCGTCCTTCAGCCCCTCTGCACCCTGGGCTTTGAGCACTGATTGATTCATTAAATGTCTCCAAAGCCAAGCCATTCATCTTTTTTTTTCCACTGTATTTTATTGTCTCTATTCCCCCTGACTTCCAAACCTCCAGCACAACACACAGTTCTGCTCACTTGACGAATCTGTGTCAATAGACAGGGCATTTTCACCCTATCTTTACCCTATATTTTTATACCTATATTTATATACCTATTTTTAACCTGTAGGGTATTTTTACACACAAGAAAGAGGCACCTGCACCTGCTTTTATTGGTGTTGGCTACACTGGGCTGTGCCTTGAGGGAATTCTGGTAGGTTTTTGCTTGGCAGTGCTCTACTGCACCACCCCCCCCATGCACCCCCACACAATTTTCAGCCAAAAAACACAATTTCAAGGTCCAAAGGATTATTTTTCTTTTGATTATTTTTTTCACAGCTCGAAAATTCCAAGGTTTATGATTTCAGAGCTCGAAGCCCGGAGGGCCCCAGAGCATCCTTTTCAAGAGCCTGGTCTGGGAGGTCCGTGGCGCTGTGATGTCACACGGAGTCTGTGACACGTGGGGACAGAAGGGGCTGTGGGGTGCTGGGATCTGCACTCTGGAGGAGCCAATCCACAGGGTGAACACCTTTTGTCACCGAGAGCATGGCTGTGGCCGCTCAGGACCAAACTGGCAACATGTGCCAGACCAAGATGGACTTCTGGGATGGGATGGATTCCATCTTCATGATGCCCAGCATCACCCCCACAGGTACAGGCTTTGGTGGCCCCAGACGGGCAGTGGCTCCCTTGCTGATTGACAAAAAGGCTTTCCATGAGTTTGCCAACATTTTAGACATTTACCAGCGTTTCAGTCCACCCCAAACCCCACAGCCAGGGGGGTTGGAGGGCTGAGAACCAGCAGGAGCAGAGCCTGACTTGGCTTTCCTTGGCTTTCCAGAGCGAAGGGCTGTCTGGAGTGCGGTGTCTGGATACGTCCAACAGCAGCTCCTGCAGCACAAGGTGGGACAACACCCACCTCATGAGCACCCAAGGAATCTGGGAGTCCCCATGGCCCTGGAGGGTGGCCTGCAGCTCCTCTTGCCCTCCTCAGAAAGCAGCAAACCCACATCAAAAGTCCCCATGGAGGGACGAAGGGAGTTTGTGCGGGGTGGTGTCACCTCTGGGAGGGGGGGGTTGTACCACAGGAGACCCTGGAGCTGCCTCTGCCCTCACCCCAGCTCTGCTTTTTGGGGGAGAAGTGAAAAAGAGGCCTTGGCATCCCCTGCCCAGGGCTCTCCCCACTGTCCTGGCTCAGTGGGAGCTGGCAGGGTCTGGTCCGAGGTGCCACCCCTGGATGGAACCATTCCCAGCTCTTCCCTCTGCCCAGCCCTCACCCTTTGGCCTTTCCCTCCTGCTGCAGGGGGTCCGAGTCCCCACCCTTGGCTCCTTTGACGTGGTCCACACTGAGATCCACGTGGGGGACAGGGCTGTGACCCTCCAAAGGCCGGTGTTCTACCTGGCCAGGAACCTCGGAGGAGCCTCCAATCTCACGGACAACCCCACTGACCTGGCTGGTAAGGCAGGGAGTGAGCCCTGGCTGGCTGCAGGGCTGGGCTGAAGGGGGGGATCACACTCCTTTCCTGCAAGCAGAGGGAGCAGGTCTGACCCTGGGGACGTTCTGGGTGATGGCTGCAACGAACAGCCCTCGGGAAACGATCCTGCGGGAATTCCTCCCCCTCTCCGCTGTGGTTTCCCAGGGGATAAGCAGCTGGAGCCTCTGAAATACGCCGAGGTGGCTGGGCAGGCGTCCGTGTCCAGGAGGAAAGCAGAGAGCTGCATCCTGGGCACCACATCCCTCCTGTACCACTGCCTGGCCAAGGGCGAGAGCGTCGCCTTCATCCTCAGGGACGTGGGGGTGCTGCTCATCGAAGGCGGGAAGGCACACATGAGGTTCTACCCCGACTTCCTGGAGAAGATGACCGGGAAGAAGATCCAGGACAGGGCTACCTTCAAGGTGAGCCTCCACTCTGCTGGTGGAGGACACCCCGTGACGTGGCCAGCGGGTCTCTGACCCTTGCTGCCCTGAGCTCCTCCTCTCCCGAGTGCCTTGGCCACGCCGAGGGTGTCCTGGCACCCCCACGTTTCTCTGCTGCAGGTTTTCCAGCAGCTGGACCTGGTGGTGTCCCGTGAGGTGCCCGTTGCTTCCCTGGCTTTCACGAGCCGCGTCCTCGTCTTTCCCGAGTGAGCACGGAATTCTGGCGGCTTCAGGCTCTGCCTGAGACAACCAGGGCACAGCCTTGAGCTGCCCCAGGGCAGGTTTAGGATGGACATTGGGAAGTTCTTCCCAGAGAGAGGGATCAGCCACTGGAAGGGGCTGCCCAGAGAGGGGGTGGATTCTCCATCCCTGGAGGGGTTTGAGCAGAGCCTGGATGTGGCATCAGTGCCATGGGCTGGGTGACAAGGTGGGGTTGGGTCACAGGTTGGGCTCCATGATCTCAGAGGGCTTTTCCAGCCTGGCCCCTCGCTCTCATGTCTGGTTGCCCATCATTCCTGCCAGCAGACCTGAGGGGACAGGGCAAGGATTTTAGGCGACACTTGCTCTCCCGTCATGGCCAGGAATCCTTTCCTGGGTGCTCCCATTTCCCAGGGCAGTCCTTAGGATTGGGAAAAAAGCCAGTGCCGAAGTGCCCTGTGGGCAGCTGGTGGTGGTGCTGTGGCTCAGGCTTGTGCCTCCTCTTTGTCTCCAGGTTTGAACCGGCGAGTCTGCCCCTCTCACTGTTCAGGGACCGTCTCAGGGCCTTGAGACACGTCCCTGGTGGGGACAAAGGGTGGCAAAAAGAGAGTTTGCCACCTGTCAGGCAAGGCATGGAAGGTAAAGCAGCTCCCATCTGGTTTCTGTAGCCGGGGCAGCTGGCTTCTGTGGTCTGATGGGAGAATCCCTGGGGATGATTGTCATGAGGATCTGACTTGTGCCAAAGCTTGGGGCCAGCCTAGCCCAGCCAATTCTCCTCAGGCTGGCTGAGCTCTGGGGAGGGAGGTGCCCTGGGTCCAGCAGGAGGAGGAGGAGGGTGCAGATCCAAAGGCTCTGGGAAGCTCCCTCTGCTTTTGAGGGAGGCTCTGTCACCTCAGGGGTTGGGGTGCTGGCACTGGGGAGGGTGCCAGGCCTCTGGAGACATCACAGCCATGCTCTCCTTCCTGGTTCCAGGGAGATTTCCAGGACTGGCCGTGCCCGCTCGCTCCTCTGCTAAGGCGGGCAAGCAGCCCTGGGACGAGGGGGAGACGGAGATGAAGGACAGCTCTGGGGTCAGGTGAGAACTGGAGGCTCAGGGCTGCAGCCAGAGCCCCTTCCCCAGCGCCAAACCCCCTGGGAGAGGCTGCTGGAGCTCCCCATGGCACAGGGCTGGCTCCTGTGGGCAGGATGTGGCTCAGCCCCCTCCTGTTGTGTCCTCCCAGGAAGCTGCCAGAGATCCCAGGGGCTGCTGCTGCTGCTGGAAAAAAGCAGTTTGGGACTGACCAAGCCAAGGGCAAACCCACCCCCAAGGGCCAAGTGTCAGAGCAGGGCCAGGGAGAGGCAACAACCACTCAGAGGGGCAGGGCAGGAGGAGAAGGAGAAGCAAAAGATTCCCTTGGAAGAGAAGGAGAAAAGAAAGTTCATTTGGGAGGAGAAGGAGCATCAAAAGATTCCCTTGGAAGAAGAGGAGAAAAGAAAGTTCATTCTGGAAGAGGAGGAGCATCAAAAGATTCCCTTAGAAGAGAAGGAGCATCAAAAGATTCCCTTAGAAGAGAAAGAGAAAAGAAAGTTCGTTCTGGAAGAGAAGGAACATCCAAAGATTCCCTTGGAAAAGAAGGAGCATCAAAAGATTCCCTTGGAAGAGAAGGAGCATCAGAAGATTCCCTTGGAAGAGAAGGAGAAAAGAAAGCTCCTCCTGGAAAAGGAGAAAAGAAAGTTCCTCCTGGAAAAGAAGGAGAGAAGAAAATTCCTCCTGGAAAAGAAGGTGAAAAGAAAGTTCCTCCTGGAGGAAAAGGAGAAAAGAAAGTTTCTCCTGGAAGAAAAGGAGAAAAGAACGTTTCTTCTGGAAGAAAAGGAGGAGAAAAGAAAGTTTCTCCCGCAAGAAAAGGAAAAAAGCAAGTTCGTTTCGGAAGGGAAGGAGAAGTGAGAGGCCTCCTGGATCCCCTCAGAAGAGAAGGAGAAAGGAAACTCCTTTCCAGGAGAGAAGAAAAAAAGAAAGTTGCCCTCGGGAGCGCCTCCCTGCCGTGGAGTGCCCAGGACTGGGAGCCTGAGGATTCCACCTCCATGGTGGTCCTGCAGACCCTGGGACCTGAGGCACAGGGACACAGCCCAAGGCCTGAGGCCTTCTGGTCGGTGCTGAAAGAGCCCCAGAAGAACATTTTGGCAGGTTACAAGTTTGAGCCCTCCCTTTATGCGTCCCCCCTGCCCCCAGGGGGGTCCACGGCTCCGAGGTCCCCCGTGCTGGAGAAGAGGGAGGTGGTTGCCAGGGGGTTGTGGCCGTGGATGGAGTGACCAGGGCTGGGCTGAGCATTCCCAAACGAGACCAACCCCCAGCCCAAGTGCTGCTGGCAGGAGGGAGACCACGCCAGGAAGGACAGGGCAGGTTGGGTTTGGTTTGAGACCATGCCAGGAAGGACAGGGTGGGTTGGGTTTGGTTTAGGACTTGGCAAAAAAAGCTAAATTGACTCTCAAGGGCCAATTGGGCCTCATTCTGAGAGTCCAAAGCCACCTGTGGAGAGTCCAGAGGCTCATGGTTGAGCCCAAACCCAGGTCAGGGACAGATCCTCCTCTTTGGGATTCATATTCTGCAGGTTGGAGACCTCAAAGCTTCTTCTAAGCCTCCAGCAGTGTCTGCCCAGCAGCCTGTGAGGGGTCATTGGACCCAGGGCAGGACATTTGAGGAGGCAGGTGACTGATATGGGACCAAACCCACCCAACTTCGAGGCTTTCCACGTCGAAAATTTTCTATTTGGAAGTATCCCAGGGGATATTTGATATTTGACACAAATAATGGAGCTGTGAGGCCACAGGATGACCTTTCTCTGATCCCAGAGGCCGTTGTGTCAGTCAGAGATGGATCTGAGTGAAACCTGGAGCTGATGATCAGGGAATTCATAATCCTTGGAACAGACAAAGCTGCAGCTTAAATATTCCCTGTGGCTGAATCACTGGAGTGGACAGCCCGTGGATTGTGGGGAATGAATGAACTGTAACTTCCATTTTACTGACTGAAACCCCCACTGAAACCCACCTCAGAGGGTGTGAAGATGAGCAGGTGGCAACCCCTTGGTAATGAAACAGCAAAGCCCCCAAAAGGGGAAGAGAGAGAAGAGAGAGAAGCCCTCAGACCTTAAAAATTCTGCCCAGGAATTTCTTTGTTATTTATTCTTTATTCTTAGGAGCTTGTGCTAGTAGATATAATTATTGATTGTGTTAATAAACCTCTAAAAAGGGGGTGGGAGCTCAGCGTCGAACATTTTTTTTAACAAAACCTGAGTCAGTTTGAAGCAGCAGCTGGACTGTGTTTGGAGGTTTTTATTAGGAGAGAACCCCACGAGCAACAAATTAAATACCACCCATTGCCCTGTTGCAAACCCCATCCCTTGCACACCCCATCCCTTGCCCACCTGCAATTCCAATTTCTTCTCCTTCAGCCCCTTTGCACCCTGGGATTTGAGCACTGGTTGATTCATTCAATGCCTCCAAAGTTAAATCACTTTAAGCACTGATTGATTCAATAAATGCCTCCAAAGTCAAGCCATGCATTTTTTTTTCACTGTAGTTTGTTTTCTCTATTCACAGACCTCTATTCAGAAATTATTATTATTTCACTGTATTTTGTTGTCTCCATTCACAAACCCCTATTCACAAATCTATTCACAACCCCTGACTCACAAAGCTCCAGCACAGCCCTGAGTTCTTGGAGAATCTGTGTAAATACAGGGTGTATTTTTACACACAAGAAAGAGGCACCTGCTTTTGTGCAGTATTTCAACTTGCAGTGAGTCTTCTGGGAATTCTAGTAGGGGTTTTTTTTTTTGGCTTTTACAGGAGCATTTATTTGCAGTTGAGATGTTCACCCTGTTCTGTTATTCAGCCCTGGTTTTGTGAGGCTTCACATCTTTAACCCAGTTATATATATTTAGGTAGGTAATGTGTCAGGAAGGGGAATATATATGAAGACACACAGTTTCATGCTGGTAAAAATCAACAAAAAGATTCAAAAACTGGCTTTTCCTGCCACTGCCTACCCACCATCTCAGAGTCATGGAATGGTTTGGGTTGGAAGTGATGTTAAAGATCATCCTGTTCCACCCCCTGCCACGGGCAGCGACACCTTCCACTATCTCAGGTTGCTCCAAGCTGGCCTTGGACACTTCCAGAGATACAGAGGCAGCCACAGCTTCTCTGATCAACCTGTGCCAGGGCCTTTCCACCCTCCCCATAAAGCATTTCTGCCTTATGTCCCCTCTGGCAGTGGAAAACCCTCCACCCCTGGGCCTGGCACATTTTGGATGCCTCTTCTGGACCTGGTCCGACAGAGCCGGGAGAAGAGGAAAGGAATCCAGTGAATGGAGCAGAGAGCGAGAATTCCTTCCCATCCAGAACTTCCAGCCAGACAATCCTGCTGCCCTCTCTTTATTTAGGACTCCCCACTGCTAAATTTCCACCTCCTCCCGGCTGCCCAGGGGCCGGAAACGAGATCTCCAGGACGCGAGGTGCCTGCGGAGAGAGGGAGCTGCTGAACCCCTGCCGTGGCCAGGGTTGGGGGGGTGGGAGGCTGCAGAGCAGCTCTGGGCACCCCATGGCATGTGGGTACCCCCTGTGGGATGTGGGCACCCGGGAAAAGGGGCCCCATCTCACAGCACAAAGCTCGGCTGAGTTTGGGCAGCGACCAGCCGGGCACCCGGAGCCCCCACGGCTCGAGACACCCCACGGCTGACACGGCCACCCCAGTACCTGCTTGGCAACCCCCTCCACCTCTGACTCACCCCTGCACATCCTTTGCCCAGGCAGGGAGCACCAAGCACAGGAACAGAGCAGTCAGAAGCCCGGCCACAGCCACCAGGCAGTTGCTGAGAAGGACCTTCCTGGAGGTGTCAGCATCCACTGCTCCTCTGTTTGCCCTGCCAGCCACAGCCTTGGGGTTGGTCCTGCCCAGTCTCCTCTTGTCCACACCTGGAGGGGACAACTGTGAAGGTCAGTGTGTCCTGCACACCTCTGGCCATCTCATGGCGGGGCTGACATTGCCAGGGATTCCCTTTGTAGTGCCAAGACCTATCCTGGCAAGCTCTGGGATGCAGGAGCTGCAGGAGGGACACTCCAGGATCCAGAGTCACATTTCCCATCATCTGCTGAGCAGGCAAAGCTGTGAGGTCCCTGAGAACAGGGTGTGGGGGGCAATGAGCATCTCCCCACATCCCCAGAGGGTCTGAGTGTGTGTCCCTGGCACAGCCACCCCCTCCCTTCTTGGGTGGCCAAGGGACAACAATTACCTGGCACTCCTGTTGGCTGAGCAGCCCCCAGGTTTCCCCCAGGGAATGGCACCTCCTGAAGGCCTCCCTGTGGTGCCTCCTCATCCCCAGGCACGAGCTCCACAGCTTTAGAGAGAAAGTGGATCAGTTCAATTCCAAGCCACCGTTCCTGAGCGGGTTCCAAGAGCCCAGCTTCCCAACTCCCCCCATACCCACCATCAGGCATGTCCTTCAGGGCACCCAGGACTTCAGTCAGCGTTTCCTCCAGCTGCCAGTAAATGTCTCCAGGCTCAGTTCCGTTCTTTGGACCTTCGTGGGAAGAGTAAACAATTTCTGCCGCAGCGAACTCTGGGCTGTGCTGCTGGGAAAGCCCTCCCTGTGCCCACAGCTGACACCAGACCCCCGTGGGGAGCTCTTGTGGCATCCCCTGTGCTGACTGTAACCCCAGAACAGGGAGGGGATCACAGAGCAGGACAGGCAGGGCTGGATTCTCTCACCTGCAGGAGATGCCTCGCTCACAGTCGGGCTTTGAACTGGCAGTTCCCAGAGGGAGAACACATCCATGTGACCTTCAGGAGAGTCAGATCCAGAACCTGCACCTCCATTGCCTCCAGACACATCTGTGAACAGAGCAGAGGTGCTCAACTGGAATATTTCCACGTAGTTCCCCGGCTCTGATGGCAGTGGCTGTTGTTTAGACGTGGAATGGCTCCATGGCACAGTCTGTCCCTCCCTCTCTGGAGCGCTGTGCAGGCAGGTGGCCTGAGCCACCATGACCCCAATTAAGCAGTGCAGGAGCTGCCAGGAGAAAGGACTTTCTGCAGCTCACAGCAGCCCTAAACCCACCCCCGACCCCGCTGTTGGGGTTGCAGTGACACTGGGAAGCAGCTCATGGTCATCCCTGAGCCTGACCCATTCCATCTCTGCAATGCTGTGTGGCTGCCCCCCAAAAATGATGGTTACATTTCACACCAACAGAAGTTTGGGACCAAAATGCTCACTCAGGGGACGGCCAGTGGGACCCAACAGCACCTGTGGGACCCGTGGTGGGTGCAGGCCCTTCCCTGCCCACCTACCTGCCCCCAGCAGCCTGGGCTCATCCACCTGGACCCTCGTGGTGATGTGGGCATACAGTGCCACCAGCATTGCCAGGGCTGCAGAGGCTGCCAGGGCTTTCAGCAGCGCCAGCAGAGCGCGGTTGCCGGGGGCCCGGCGCCCCTGCATCATCGCTGGAGGTGCCACCAGAACCTGCAGAGCCACTGCTGCAGCGGTGCCACCCCTGCTGTGGTGCCCACAGCACCTTCCCCAGGCTGCAAACCGCGGCCTGGCTTTGTGACCTCGTGGCTCAGGGTGGGGTTCTACCCCCAACAATCCGCCGGCACCTCCGGGGGACCCTCAAAGGTTCCACGGGCACAGGAACCCCCCAGCACAGCAGGTTCTGTCCCACGGACCAAACACCACCTGGAGCTCCCTCAGAGGACTCCTGGGCTGGCACCTGGGAACTCCCCTGTCTCCAGAAGAGGTCAAGCTGCAGATGCTTGGGAGGAGCCCCTGGCAGCTTCCAGGCCCGGAGATTGCTTTCCACTGCTGTGGAAATGCTGGTTCTCCTGCCTGAAAAGGCTCTTGGAAAAACTTCCCTGTCAGATTTAACACATTGGCTCACTGCAACAGAGACCAGAGAAGGTGATTTTGCCTTAAATGTTATTAAAATATGAACATGCTATTAAATATGAAGGTGTTTGCACAGCCCTGGAGTATTCCTTAACTGCTGCCTGGTTTCCCTAAGCAGGATTCCAGCCTGGGTTAATGGCATTTACTTGTGGTTTCTCCCAGCACAGATGCAGTTGGTGACTGGAATGCTCCCAGTCTGGTTTAGGGCTCTGTCAACAGTGCAGATGTTTTGAGCAATTTGGTGCTGAAACAAAGCCACGGTCCCTCTGCTGGGCACTGCTCCTGTCTCAGCTGGTGGAACCTCCTAAATTGAGGGGGTGGAAAGGAAGCTCCATCTCTTGGCAGCAGGGCCTGGTGAGAGCCAAAAACTCGTGCCGTGACTCCAGTGGAAAGGTGTGTGTGTGGAGGTTGATCCTGAGGAAATACTCATTATTCAATTCATGTTTGCTCTAATCTGACTTTCCAGCAGCGCTGCCCTTGACCATCATCTCTGAACCTCCCTGAGTTCAGGATCATTTTAGGGACAGCTGGGGGCAGCACAGCACCGAAGATCTGTCCTTCCTGCTCGCATTTACCTGCCTTTGGTGGGTGTGGAAGGATTCAGTCATTATTCAGCAGAAAAAAAGATGTAATTACTTTGATAAAATCCAGGTTGGTTTGCACGGACCTGCTCTCTGGGTAGTGTTGCCCTTTCTCTTGTCTCAAATAAGGCACAAAATTGCATCCCCATCCTGGTCCTCAGTGAGTGTGTGGTGAGGGGCCTGTTCTTGGGGGACGCTCTTTGGCACTGGGAAAATATTTAAAAATCACGATAAAAATCCATTTTGTTTAATTAGTGCTTCAGTTATGCTGGGAATTACCCGGTGCATTTGTTTCCACAGTGAGCAATTGCAAGTCAGGGTGAGGATGAAAAGTCTGGTGTGATAACAGAGTAAGTCACAGGACTCCAAATACAGTTTATTTAGAGTGGAAATGCCAGGTAAGGACCCCCCCACCCCCCCATCCTACCCCCAAAAACCCTCCCAAATGAAAAGCCCAAATTCATGTGCTGGGAATTTAAAACCCCAGAAGACTTTCTTCCCAAATTATCAGCTTTGCTGCAGCGGGTGTTTGCTGTGGAGCACTTGACAAATTTGTGTAGCCTCAGAGGTTGATAATGGATGATCTAATCTCATGTTCATGGCAGGAAAATAAAAATCAGGGCTGCTGTAAGGTTGACAGCAAACCTTTCTGTTCTCGTGCTTGTCATTGCTCTGTGATGCCTTGGCAAATGTTAGAAAATAAATTCAGGTTTTGATCCCAGTTTAATACGATTTGAATGTAATGTATCCGTCCTCTTGATCTTTGTTTGCATTGAAGGCAAGGTGATGGGAAGGAGAACAGCCTTGGAAAAAAAATCATTGGGTTTAAAATTTGCCTTTTCTAAATAACATTTCTGCCAAAAGACATTTTTACTGGGGTGGGGGGGTGGGGGGGGAAGTAGAAAAGGTTTTCCTCCACCATCATTAGCACTAGAAAAATACAGGATTTCCAAGTAATTCGTGTTTGAGGGTTCAAGAACATTTTAAATGTCCAAAGTTTTGGAGAAGACAGGGTGGAGAACATGTTTCTGTAGGGTTGCCAGGCAGTGTTTGCTAAACCAGATGATGATGGTGTTTTGCCTCTGCACATCTCCAACCCCCTTTTTTTTCTGGGGCATCATTTTCACCAAAACCCCCCTCTGCAGAGGCCCAGGGGTTGCAGAATTCCCTGCAAAGCAAAGGAATCGTGCTTTGATTTGGACTTTCAGGGCCAGTTTTAGGCTGGTGAAAAATTCCCAGCGTGGTTTGGGTTGGAAGGCACCTTAAAAGCATCCCATCCCACCCCCCCTGCCATGAGCAGGGACACCTTCCACCAGCCCAGGTTGCTCCAAGCTGGCCTTGGACACTTCCAGGGATGGGGGAAAAGGCTTTTTTTATTTGGCTTAATTAAAGAGTAAGGTTTTTAATTTGGCTTTAGCACTAGGTGGGGCTAAAGGACTAAAGAAGGAGTGAAAAAAAAAACCTGCTGGCTGAGCCCTGGGGATGTGTGAAAAAAAAAAACAAACCAAAATGGGAAATGAGGAGGATATCGATGCTGTTGGAGCCCCTCCACTCCCAGCCTGGTGACAGAAACCAGAGTGTGACTCTGCAGGTTGTCAGCACTCCTGGGAGGCCAGGGATGTGTTGGGAGATGGTTGACACGTGGAACCCACGAGCAGGACACGCTGGGCAGCAGCTCTCAGGTGTATTTTGGTGTCTGACAACTCTTCCATGAAGGAGCCTTCAAAGAGCAGCATCTCCTCAGCTTCCAAACCTCCAGCACCCAGGAATGGCCCCAGGAGACAGCTCAGGGCAAATAAATTCCTGATTTCTCCGTTGTGTGAGCTCATTTTTTAAGTGACTCATTCCGGTGTTTTTCCTGGGTGATTTTTTTATTTATTGTTCCTGCTTAGGGATGGAAGAGAAGGCTGGCTTTTAAAATCCACGAGAAATCTTCCTTTTAGATTGTTCCTTCCCGGACTTTCCCCTCATGTCCCATCCAGGTAACAGATTTATTGGTTATCAGATAAAACAGGTAAACAACAATACTTTGTTCTCCAACACAATATCCCCTGCCTGTCACAGTTAAGGATCTTTACTGTCCTTATCAATCCTCTGGCAAATTATCCTTATCCATCCTGTGGCAAAAGAGCAGCTTTTGCCTGTATTAATGGGAGTGTTTGTGTGGGCAAAGATCTCAGCAGAACTGAGCAAGCAGCTGTTCTCTCGTTTGCCCTACAGAGTGGAGAAACATTTAATGAAATTGCTTATAGTTTAATGATTTGTATGACATAAACAATATTTTCCTTCTGTCAGTGCCGGGCCAATCTCGAATTGCTCGAGGATGTAAACACGAGAAAATACACCCAGACAATTTAAATTAAATGCCTAATGTACCTGGGGAGAGATTATCTGCTCTGCTCCTATCATTTCTTCTCTAAATCTACCAGCAGGGGTTCCTGTTTGTTGCTCGGTGCTTTTATTGCACAAATAATTTAGTGTCGGGTAAAGGGGGTGAGGGCTTGGGGGTGTTTTGAGGGAAGCACCAAAAAAATCCAGAATCCCTTTTAAAACCCCCAGTTTCAGCAGAGAAGCAGAGAGAATATCCTGAGCTGGAAGGGCCCTCCAGGATCATGGAAACCTTGGGATGAGCTCTGTGAGCTCTGGGCTGGTGGAAGGTGGGGCAAAGAGGGGAACTAAATACTACCAGAGAAATAAATGAAGGCCTTGTCCATGGAATCATGGATTGGTTTGGGTTGGAAGGGACCTCCTGTGATGTTCCTCCAACCTTTTCCCCATCACCTGGAGCACAACGTGTGTGGGAGAGAAGAACAGGAAGGACATCCCTGTTCCTTCCCCCACCAGCCACCAAAAACTCCTCTCAACCCCAATTTGCTGATGTGGTTCCCCCACCCTGATTTTTCTGTTCCATGATTTTTCTGTTTCCTCGGAAAGTCCCAACATAAATAAAACCTAAAAAATCAGGCTTTCACTCTGCCACACTCCTTTTAGGGAGGAATTGCTTGGAGCAGCAGGAAGGATGCCTCATCCTGGGATTCTGGGAGCCAGGTGGAAGGGGGGTCACTGCAGTTTGTGCTCATGAATAAGGAATCTGACATTGTCCTTATGCAAATGTGACCTAACCAGCTCCAAACTAACTAACTAACTAACTAAAACCCTTGTTTGGTGTGTCACTTCTTCACCAGGCTCCTTCCCCTGCTCTTGGATTTTCGGGATGGAGATGATTCGTTGGAGAGGTGGCAGTGGGGGGTGGAGAGAGGAGGAGGGGGAGGAGAATCTTGGGGCTCTGATAAACAGGAGATGGGATTCATGGATTTAGCACCCCTAGGAATCAGGTGACAGCTGATATTCCTCGGCTTCCATGGGAATGACTGAGAAATGATCAGCACTGGGGGACATTCCCCATCATCAGGTTGTTGCAGAGCAAAGTAACACAGAATTATGGAATGGTTTGGGCTGGGAAAGCCCTCCAAGTTATCCTAATTTAGCCTCTCCCTCTCTCTTTCTCTCTCTTTTTCTCCTTCTCTCTCCCAGGTGTAGTTAAAAAAATGCAAAGTTCACCATAAAAGTCTCTCTCACTCTTTGTGCTGAGGGTGATAAACTTCACCCTCGATCTCGTGTTGTTTTATTCCATAATTTGCACCGTGGGAAGGAAAAAGAAGCCTTTCCATAAGGCTCCAGTGTATAAATCTCGGTTTACTGTTTTCTATCAGGGCAAAACACTCTCTCCACGCCAGGTGTCTTAAATTAATAGGCTACAGGTTGAAAAGAAGGGGGAAATTGCCAAAAACGTTCCCGCATTTGTTCTAGTCCTGAAAAAGAGCTGATTTAATTAATCTCCCTTCATCAGGGGCACAAAGCCTGGGTCTAATTGCGAGCTCAGAAGCATCAGTTGTCCAAGTGATTGGAGAGTAGTTAGAGATGAAAGGGAGGCAAACGAGGCAGTGATGAATGTGGCTTTGCTGGGAGCTCTGTCTCATTGCCTCGCCCCGCCCGAGCAGTTGGAGAGCGGCTGCAAAGTAATAAAAGAAAATTAAAACACAT